TTTGTAAATTGTTTAATCTAGTTTATAAATATATACTTTTTTTGAACAGAATGCACAATATATTGATTCCACCTCAAAAATCAATGTTTACAACAACTTAGTCAAACTAGCATTTGATATTAAAACCTCTACAGCTTGTTAATATTGCATCTATTCTTCCTCCAGTAGGCTTCTGTTTGCTTTTGAATTTGCATGCACACTTCTTCCTCTGGTAGTGCAGGTTGGCCATGGATAATTTTGTTTCTTGTCTTCCATATCCAGTGACATGTAGCTGCAAAGACACTAATATATTCCTGCATTTTCCTCCCCTTGATAGCCATGAGTTTATCTTTCATATCTTCTATACTTCTGCCACTAATTTTGCTCTTAGTCCCTTCAGAGAGTCTCCCCATTAGTTTAGTAGTAATGGGGCAATTACAAAACATGTGGTTATGACTTTCTTCTTCACTTCTACATAGTGGACAGGTTGTATCTATGTCTATATATCTGCTCAACCTGTCTTTTGTCTTCAATCTTCCTTTGCATATTAACCAAAGTAGGAATTGGTGTTTTAGAGCAGTGAGTTTATTCCATATGAAGGATGTCCATTCTGATTTTGTTCTCTTGCCCAGTAGCCAAGTATATCCTTCCTCTGTTGTGTACTCCTTGTTGTCCTGCATGTTTTCGAACCACCTTCTGTTGTGGATAATTTTCTTCCAATAGTAGCAACAATCCCCTCTTAGCTTGTAGCTCTCCATATCTCCTTTCATATAGCATTCATGTATCCACTTCACCCACAGGTTATCCTTCTTATTCTTGACATCCCACCAGTAGGTATGTATAAAAGCTCTGTTCCAAAGTGTCATATTCCTCAAACCCAATCCACCATAGATTTTTGGCAGACACACCTCTTCCCAGTTCACCAAAGGGATCTTAGTATAGCTGGCTTTGGTTCCCCATAAGAAATTCCTACAGATGCTTTGCACCTTCTTCATGACCTTTGATGGGATGATGAATAGTTGGCTCCAGAAAGTCATGACTCCAAATAGGACTGTGTTGACTAACTGACATCGTCCTGCATATGAGAGATGTCTAGTGGCCCAAGATGTTATTTTGTTTGTAATATTTTCAACTAGTCTGTCACATTCCTTCTCACTAATCCTTGATGCTGAAATTGGGCTCCCGAGATATCTGATAGGAAGATCTCCTATAGGGAGCTTGGTCATTCTAATCAGTTTCTCTTGAGTATCATTATTTACCCCTCCAAAAATAATTTGTGACTTGCTAAAATTTATTCCCAGACCTGTGCTCTTTTAGAAATTCTTCAGTTTATCCATGATGGCTTTCACGGAACCTTTTTCCGCCTTGCACACTATGATGAGGTCATCAGCAAAACAAAGATTTACTAATTCAAGGGTTTTGCACGTTGGGTGATATTTGAATTCTTTTGTTCTGTCCATTTGTTGCAAAAGTCTGCTAAGGTATTCCATTACTAGGACAAAGAGTAGTGGGGAGAGGGGGTCTCCTTGCCTAAGCCCCTTTTTCCCTGCAAAGTACCCATGAGCTTCTCCACTGAGTTGGACAGAATATGAAGGGGTTAAAATACAGTATTCAATCCAGCTCACAAACTGATGGGGAAAATTCAGCAGTTCCATAATCTGTATGACTGCCTTCCAGCTTACATTATCATATGCCTTTCTAATATCCAGTTTCATGAGGCATCTAGGTGAAATTCCTTTCCTTTTATAGCCTTTGGTTAGCTCATGGCACATTAATACATTATGAACTAACTTCCTCTCTTTGATGAAAGCTCCCTGATTTTGGTTTATTATCTCTGGAAGTATTTTTTGAGTCTGCTACAAATTATTTTTGATATGGCCTTGTATATAACATTGCAACATGCTATAGGCCTGTAGTCATTTGCCACCTTGGGTGCTTCAGATTTAGGAACCACGGTGATTGAGGTGGCATTGATCTGCTTAATAAACTTCCCATTCTCAAAGAAATCCAAAATGGCATCGGTGATTAATTCCCCCACTTGATTCCACTGGTGTTTGAAAAACCCACTGTTGAATCCATCTGGTCCCGGGCTTTTCCCACTAGGTATGCTGAAGATAGCTTCCTTAATTTGGTCTCTTCTAATCTCCTCTATGAGCCCTAGTTGTTGCATAGGGCTAAGTTTTTTTCCTTCAAGCATTGCCCTTCTGTCTATTTCTTCTGTCTCACTAGATTTTCCATGCTGGTTTTTGAAGTATTCAACTAGCACCTCGGCCACTTTTTTATCCCCTTCAACTATCTCCCCCTCTTTGTTTTTTATTGTTAACACTTGATTTTGGATCCTTCTTTTCTTAATCCAAGAGTAGAATAGCTTCGAGTTCTGGTCCCCTTTTTGAATCCACTCCACTTTACATAACTGATTAATCATCATAGATGAATGTTTCAGTTTTGTGTGCAATCTCTGGATTAGTGTTTTCTCTTCCTCTATAAGCTCTCCACCGTTGGGATTTTCTTTTAGCTTTGCTTGAGCTTTTTCAAGTTGTTCCATAATTGCCTCATTTTCCTCTTGTAGTCCTCTAAATTTGCTTTGATGTAGTCCTTTAAGGGGCTTTTTTAGAGCTTTCAGTTTTTTGCAGACTTGATACATTGGCCTACCTTGTATGTTCTCCATCCAAATCTTTTCCACAAGTTTTGGAAATTTAGGATCCTTGGTCCACATATCACAGAATTTGAAACTCTTGCAAGTTTTTTCAAAGCTTGTATAAATGATGAGGGGAGTATGGTCTGATAGGCCCTCTTCCTTGACAATTATCTTGGTGTTATATGTACTCATCCAGTCTAAGTTGTATAAGGCCCTGTCAATTTTAGAGTATATCCTATGCCCCTGCCATTGTCTATTTGACCATGTGAAAAATGCTCCTTGTGTAGGCATTTCTTCTAAACCACAAGCCACCACACAGTTCCTAAAATCTGCTATGTCTTCCCATCCAATGGGATTTCCCCCTTTTCTGTCCTCTATATGCAGAGGATTATTAAAATCCCCAATTACTACCCAAGGTCCTTTGATGTTGGTGTTGATTTCCATCAGTTTCCTCCATAGGTCCAGCCTTTTGCCTGGCTCATTTTGAGCATAGACAAAGGTGATGAAGAATTTATCCTCCCTTCCAATCCTTCTAGTCTCACAGTGGATAAGTTGATCATTTTTAACATTTTCTTTAACCTCAAAAATTCCCGGATTCCAAGTCACCCATACTCTCCCTAGGTCATGCTCGTGATGATTTGTGCAAGTATTCCATCTTTTAGTTATTCTTCCTTATACTTCCTTGACCTTATTATCCTTTATTTTGGTCTCTAAGATGGCCATGAGACCAATATTATTCTTACTAATAAATCTTTTTATTTCTTCTTGTTTATTGGGGCTGTTGAGACCCCTAATATTCAAGCAGCCAATCATGATAGGAATGGTAATGCCCCTCATAGGGGGCGTCATGGAATACCATGTTTATGTCTGACCCCTCGTAAAATTGCTCTTCAAACAGATATCCTCTTTTAGCACTCTTCCTTTTGTCCACCATTTGGAAGCCATCATTATCCAGGCTTGTACTTGGTTTTTCCTGGGTGATGTTTTCTTGCCTTTCTTCCAGTTTATTTACCATCTCTTCTCCCCTTTTCTTTTGTTCATTATTTTTTGGTTTCCATATCATCTTCCTTTGAACCTGTTTTTCCCCTTTTGTTCTGCACTCTTCCCCAAAATGGCCTATTTGTTACAATTTTTGTACGGATTACAACGGACGGGAAAGATAACGGCCTCGGAAAATTAAAAAAATAAAATTCTGAATTTATAACTTATTCAGAATATTACAAGATAAACAGAATTGAAAATAAATTTATATATCTTCAAACAGCCTTGTTGTATGAGGACATTAAGCACTAGACATCAAGGACATTCTGCACTGGGCTGCGAGGACATTATGCACTAGGGTAGAATGCAGCGAGGTCTTTATGAACTAAACCTGCAAAACAAAACACCGTGAAGGACAGCGGAGTCGCCGGAGCTGTCCTTAAGGTAGTAGTGCCCGCCTACCGTACCGGAAAAACGTGGACACTCTCCTCCCAAGATAAAACCGCTATCGTGTGTGGAGATTGTACGGACCAACCACACACCAACGAACAAGAACAACGTAGGAACGTTGGCGACCAAAAACTTTAAAGGGAATTGCCGGAAATTTGGCTGGAAAACCAAGAGCTCTCTCAAAAAATAAACAAGAAAGATTTTCTTTCATTTTCCTTTTTGTTTCTCACGTGAAGCACCACACTAAGCAATGGAGAGCCCTTGATATTTATAACTAAGGAATTTTAAAAAGTGTAACTCCTACACCATTAATTCATGGCATTTGTGGCACAATAATGACGTGTTAATGGTGATTAATTAGCCATTAACACGTTCGTTATGCTACGCTCCGTTTAAAATTTGTCCCGAATAATTGGAGATTAATGGCCAGTTAACTCCGTAAAAAGGACTAATTTTAAACAATACGTAAAATTAATAATAGAAGATTGGCTTAGTAAAATTGCAAAAAATTGCAATCCTTACCATATTCTTTTATTAACGGGTTAACTCTGAGAATCAATTTCTCATTCACCCTCTACCATTTTTGGCGTATAAATTATCAAAACATTTACTCCCTCCGTCCTAAAACTTTCTTCCCAGAGCACTATTCCAACTTCACGGGAATTTATATTTTGTTGATAAAATAAAATATTCTTGTCACCACTTATTTTGTTGAACTTTTGATGTAGTTTTTAAATATGTATGTTTTATTTTTTATTTCTATACCAATATTTAAATAAAATAGATTGAAAAAACTTGGGATTTTTCTTCGTTTTGCGCATCGGGAAGAAAGATATAGGACGGAGGGAGTATCTCATTTAAGAGAACACATGTCCATTAATTAACGGTTAAAACCGTTAGTGGACCTATTGATAAATATACCCAAGTTGGTCCATTTAATGCCTATTAAAAAAATTCCAACACTATTTTCTTGCCGTGTGTACACTGAACCGGGCACCATTCATACTCCAGTTTCTGGGTAACCACTCTGTTATCCTCATCTATGAAGGTCACCTTTTCTGGGAAATTGCTCTGCATACCCACTTTTATCTGGATTCTTGCATATTCCATTTTTGTTTTGGTTGTTGTTGCCCTATCCCTTTTGATTGGATTCCCGATGATACTCCCTATTTTGTTCAAACCTGTAAGGCTCCAGTATTTGAGCTCCAGATCTAAGAATATGATCTAAATAGGTATGTCTGTCAGTTCCTCTAGTCTTATTTTCATTCCTGGGTTGTATTTCTGCACTAGAACTGGTTTATTGTCCATGAAATAGTATTTCCTCTTCACAATTTCATCTCTGTCCTCTTTCTGTTCAAAGTTTACCACAAACTGGCCTTCACGCAGAATGGCAATTTCTGTAATCTTGAAATCCTTCCAGATTCTTCTTATAAACCCATCCATAACCTTTAGAGGGGGGTTGGCTCCTAGAACACAGCAGACAGCAGCTGCATTCCAGTAATTGTCCATCTCTATGACGTCCTCTTTTGTTAATCTCGCTATCTTAGTTCCATTTAATTCCTCCGTCTGTACATATTTGAGCTCTGACTCAAGTATTTCTGTCTTCCCCACTATTTCAGCATAAGTTTTCACTTGTGCTTCTTCAGGTTTTTGTTTCTTCATTTCCGAATTCAGCTTTTCCTCTTCATTACATAGTAATATAGATCTGGATTTGCACACGTCTAGGGTATTTGGTACCAATACTGAATCAGACATAGGAGTTGCATTCTTACCCGCTGTTGATTCTCCAGTGCACGGGGTTTCCAGTCCACTCTGTAGTTTGTACGTCGTCTTCGATTTCTTCTTCCTTGGCCGTCCTCGCTTCCTCGCCGTCATTGCTCAGAGAGGAGAACCGTTTTTATCCTCTTCTATTTTTGGTCATATATTTTTATTTTTAATTTCATACTAATTATCGTATAAAATGAATAAAAAATAGTTTATGTCAAATTGTGAATGGAGGGAGTATTCAATAAAAATATTTTTCTTAGTTCAAATAGATCAAAAGAAAAAATAATTAAAACTTGGTACTTTAAATTTTTAGAAACAATTTTTTTAGAACATATCTTCATTAATAATTCAATAAAATACTTCCTCTGTCCCAAAATATTTACAACATTTGCTTTTTCAGCAGTCGCGAAAATTTTTGTTTATTTCTACGATTTGATGGGTTATTTGATAAAATAAAATATCTTTGACACCTTTTATTTCGAAAAACTTTTCATGTAGTTTTTTGATATGTAAATTTTATTTTTTATTTCTATACCAATATGTAAATAAAATGAATTGAGAAAACTTGATATTTTACTTCGGGAATACAAATGTGGCAAATATTTAGGGACGGAGGAAGTAATATATTTTTGTTAGATCTTTTGAGGAAGTATATACAAACATGACTCTTTAATTTCACTAAAAAGTTTTCATACTTTTAGGGGTGTACATTATTCGATCCAGACCCGGATCGACCCGAAACCCGACCAAAACCAAACAGGGTCGGTCTGGACCGATCATTATTCAATCCGATCTTTGTTCCTCAATTTTTCCTTATTTGGGTTCCGGTTTGATTCGATCCGGTCCACTTGGTTTTGATCTGGACCAGTTACAATTTTTAAAAATTTCTATTTCTATATAGTTTTATAATAAAGGTTTTTTTAAGTTTTTTCTTATACTTACAATAAATTTTAACTTTAATACTAAAAAATTTTCAAATGTTTTGATTTTATTATTTAATATAATTTTTTAAATATATTCCAATTTAAAATAAGAAACCAATTCTAATGGTATTTAAATATTTTTAATATGAAAAGTGTGAAAAAGTAAACATTACCTTTACATTAGCATTCTAATGCATTTCAAATTTATGTACCAATACTGTAACTTAAGCTTGTACTCTATCAATAATAAAACACTAACCAATAAAAATAAACATTGTAAACAATCTCATAAACAAAAATAGTAAAAAATGTATCTGTTTTCCAAAATAAACCAAAAATACAAAAAAATTACAAAAAAGAAAAAACTCAATAAGAAGAAGAATATTCCCTATTTAAAATAGAAATTACGAACAAATTTTACGTAATACGAATGGAAGATATATATTTTATTTAAAGTTTTTAAAAAAATTAAAAACAACAATGCTTGACAATGTTTAGCGTATGTTGCACATTAAAATTGTAGTAATATTTTTATGCAATTGAATAATTTAAATTAAATAAACAAAATCAAATTTAAAAAAAATAAAAAATCACATTTATTGGTCCACAAAATGTCTCTTATTCGGTCCCGGTCTGATCCGGGTTTGATCCGATGAACACCCCTACATACTCGTGTATAATTTTTAAGATTAATTAAAATCCAGAAAAAAATATTGTAAATAAAAAATTTGCATTAACGAGTTTTAAAAAAAGTAATTATCATTTTAGGAAAATGAGTGAAAGGAAAGGAAAAAATAGTTGAAGATGGAAGAATTAATAAAGAAAGTAAGCATTCAATTCTTTTTAATTTTATTATAGGAAGAGGAGCAACAATGAAATAGAGGGTTTTTAAAAAAATTCTTTTTAATTTCTAAATAGGAACCATGTAAGCAATGCCACGTATCAGGTTTTTAGACTTTGGAGTCTCTATTTTATATATAAAGGATTGAAAGACTTCCCTAGATATGCGTTAAAAAAATATGCAAATACCAAAGTAGGAGTTATATACCTTTTAAGACAAAAATAGGAGTTCACACTGTAATTGTTACACTGTCGCACACACTACATTGTCACATTATTACTGTCACACTATGTCCGCCACGCCGGCCACCAGAACGCCGTTGTAGATCGTCGATAATTGACTGATCACACTAACATATTACACTATCATTATTTTTCCATCACACGATCTTATGCACGATTGACTTACTGCACGGTTATCATTTTTTTATTTCGATATATTAGACAATCTAATCTTAATTAATAAAGTGGAGGAAATATTATTACAAAAATGCTAGGGGTCACCAAAAGTGTACTCCAAATGTACACTACCCCCACCATTGCCACATATTTTGCCATGTAAAATAAAAAAGAAACAAATAAATAAAAATGAATGGTAATGAAGAGGATGATGTACATTTAGGGTATACTTTTAGTGTATTTCTAGCCTCCCTCCTATTATTATTAAACGGGCCTTAAGATTTCGAAGAATCAACCCAGAAGAGTAGTCCATATTAGCGCGCAAAAAAGCCTTAAATTTACTCCGTAGACAGACCCACCAGAGTATCTGAGCCGGAGCGGAGGAGCCCCCCGGATCACACGTTAACGCATACCTCTGCCCATACGCTCCCGTCGGTGATTCCAGGGCCTCCCAAACCCCTCCGTAGATCGTATATCATTCACCGCCGGCGCCGTGCACGGTGGTTACATACCCTAATCCCTCCCTCACTTGATACTCTGAACTTTCCCAAGTATCTTTATTTTTCATTTTTTTCTATCTAGATTTTTTGGTTGATAATAATTGGCTCAATGAACGAACCAAGACTGCCGAACCCTAGGGCGGGAATTGGATGCAACTTCGCCAACTCTAAGCAAATGCCAAACGACTCATCCGCCGGAATTTCCAAGCCCGCGCCGCCCTCGATACTCGAGCGCTTTAGGGCCATGTTGAAGGAGCGAGATGAGGAGATTAGGGTTTCTTCGGAAGATGGCGCCGTTTCCCCTCCGACTATCGATGAAGTTGTGCGGCTTTACGATATTGTTTTATCGGACCTGACTTTCAATTCGAAGCCTATCATCACTGATCTCACCATAATTGCCGGGGAGAACACAGAACACGGCGAGGGAATTACGGATGCAATTTGTGCTCGTATTCTGGAGGTCTGTATTTGCCATGTAATTTTAGGCCATAGAAGTGGATTTTTCTCTTTTTTTCTTTCTTCTTCCAGGTTTTGAATTGTATCAATGTCTAAGGGTGCTGAAACTTGCAATTCTATCTTCTGGTCTCTTATCAATTGTTTGTTTTGGTTATTTAGGAAACATAAAAACTCTCTAATTGCAAATGACTGAATCTCCATTAAGCCATCTTAATTGAACATGAACAAAAAGCTCAAATCTTTATATAAGCTCATCAAGTTTCAAGATGGCAGTCCTCACTCTCACTCTTCTCTGGATTTCTTGGCCTTTTTGGTTGGTTTTAAATCTTAAGGAGAGGTCAACATCAGATAATTGTGTCGCTCGTAATTAAACATTAAGGCATGTATTTGTCTAATAACAATGTCTGACTGAAATATAATCCACACACTCTTCAAATAATACGATTCAAGAGGCAAGTAATTTTCACCTTGGTTGCCGGTGAGTAAAAAAAGAAGGAAAACGTAAAGAGAGAAAGAGAAGGGGTGCATTCGATGATTCTTCAACATCTCAGCAATTGCTCTCAGTATCTCAACTTATGCTTATTCAACATCCCAGCAAATACGCAGACTTCCTCATCTCTAAAACAAACATGAGATCGGATGTTTCATAATAGACTTTTTATATAATATTTCTTCAGTCTTTTAACTGGCAAATAATCAACCACGCCCATAGTTTTTATGTATTCTGGATTGCTGTTTATTGGTTACAGTTTTGTTAGGTTCGCATCATAAATATCTTTGCTGAAAAGTCTGATTCTTTTGTGGCTTCTCTGACCCCTTAATAGCTTATTATGTGGGCTTCATAGTGGTATGATTTTCTGCAGTTTATTAGTTTCATTCTCAAATTTGTCTTCAGGCCCCAGTTGATCAGAAATTGCCATCTCTTTACCTTCTTGATAGTATTGTAAAGAATATAGGGAGGGAATACATAAGGCACTTTGCTGCCCGTCTGCCTGAGGTGAATATTTAAATAGTGTGCATTGACAGCTCTATTTTATATATAGCAGCACTCTTTAATATCACGACGGTATTTGTTTAGCATCATATGTCATTGCATTTTTGTGTCTTTAGGTTTTTTGCGAGGCATATAGACAAGTCCACCCCAATATGTTTCCTGCACTGCGCCACCTTTTTGGTACGTGGTCCACAGTTTTCCCATCATCTGTCCTCAACAAGATTGAAGCCTGCCTCCAGTTTTCCCCATCCACAAGCCATCAATCTTCTGGATTGACGAACATGAGAGCTTCTGAATCCCCTCGACCAGGTCATGGAATACATGTAAATCCAAAATATTTGGAAGCAAGACGG